TGACTCTCAAATGCTGGGATTAAAGGTGTGTACCACTATACCCTACCCACTTTCTGAGTCTTAATGATCTTCTTGCAAGGATGAAACTACTCAATTTGAAGGAAATTAGTAAACAACTAACTTCCTCCCTTCTTTTTTCTTTCTTTCCTTCCTTCCCTCCTTCCTCCCCCCACCCCCCCCATCTCCTTTCCCCTCTCTCCCTACCATTGGCAATTGCATTTCAAGACTCACTGGGCCAGGAGCTTGTAGCCAGGCTTGGAAGACACTTAAGTTACAAAAAATCCTGAAGATGAAAAGATTCACCATGGCTTTCATTGCATAGACTTTTAAAAAGTTTAGTGTACAAATGTTATCCTAACAACCCAAGCAATGAATTCAGCCCAATTAATAAGCAGTTTTAAATGTCCATATGTACAGGACATCTCCGGCCCCCATGGTGTTTGCTGGTTCTTCCCTGAAAGTCCATCTGTATTCCTCTCCACTTGTTTTTCTTCCATCATCATAGATCACCATGGCCTGTTCTTGAACTTCAGATAAACAGAAGCACTCTATTCCCTTGGGTCTGGCTCCTTTCTCTCAGCATCAGAGTTTTGTGATTCATCCATGTTCTATCAAGAATCAGTAGCTTGTGCTTTTTTAAAAATTGCAGAATATGCTATCATTTATTTATCTATCCTTCTGTTTGAGGACAGTTGAGCTATCATCAGTTTGGGCTGCAGTTCTAATTCACCATAACACCATAACAGAGTTCCCAAGTATCTCGGGACTAGATGACTTAGAAGTTGAAAGGTCTAAAATCAAGGTGCTGACAGGGTTGCTTTCTTCTGAGAGTCTCTCTCCTTAGTTTATCAATACCTGTCTTCTTCCAGTGCCTTCACGAGGCCTTTCCTCTATATATGCATGACCTAATCTCTTCTTTTTACAAGGTTATCATATTTTTTTGAGACAGGGTCTTCCTGTGCCCCAGCTAGCCTGGACCTCACTATGTAGACCAGGTTGGCCTCCATCTTAGAGAGATCTGCCTGCCTCTGCTGCTTGAGTGCTGGGGTCAAAGGCATACACCACCTCAATAACCTCATTTAATCTTTATTATTTCTTTAAGGCATCCAAAGATAATCACTTTTTGAGGCACTGAGAGTTAGGACTTTGACGTATGAATGGGGAGCACAATTCAGTCCATATTAAGAATAAAGTAATGGCAAACATTTTTAAACAATTTGTACACATACATTTGTCCAAAGCAGTTGGACCAACTTATATTTCTAACAACAATGTGAGATTGATAGCTAATCTTTTTTTTTTTTTTTTTTTTTTTTTTGAGACAGAGTCTCATGTATCCCATGCTGGTCCCAAACTTAGTATGTAGTCAAGGATGACCTTGAACATCTAATCATCCTGCCTCTATGAAGTCCTGAGATTATAAGTGTGTGCCACCATGGCCAGTTTTGGGTGGTGCTGAGGATCAAACCTAAGGCTTGGTGCATATAGGGAAGCACTCTACTAACTGAGCTACACCCTTAGCCCTGATGGTTAATTTAGATTGTGAATTTGATTGGCTTAAGAAGCACCTAGAAGTTTAGTGTTCTCATTTCATTTCTGCCACTGTGATTGATTAAAACACCAGTCCAAAAGGAACATATGGGAGGGAAAGGGTTGACTTGGCTTACAATTCTGGGTCACAGTCCTTCACTGAGGGAAGTCAAGGTAGGAACCTTCTGAAGGCAGGCCTGCTTGCTATTCCACACGGCATTGCCTTCAACCAAGAATTTCACTTCACAGCCAAGACAGCAGGAACCATGAAAGACACAGCTTGATGACTGGCTGTCAGGCAGGATTATGCTCACCTGTGCTTCTTATAGACTTCAGGACCATCTGCCTAAGGAATGGTGCTACCCACAGTGGGCTGAGTCCTCCTATACCAATTAACAATCAAAGCAACCCCCCCATACCCACAGGCCAATATGATCTAGGTAATTCTTTAATTGAGATTCTCTTCCCAGATAATTCTAGATTGTGTCAAGTTGGCATTTAAAGTTAGCCAGGACAGTTAGTAAAGCACACACCTCTAGGTGTGTCTGTGAGGGCGTTTCCAGAGATGATTAACCAAAGACAGGGAGAAGAAGACCCACCCTGAACACAGGCTTCACAATCCCATAGATTGGGGACCTAGATTGAATAAAAGGGGAAGAAAAAAGCCAGCTAGCACAGCTCGTGCTCCCCCTGCCCCTTCCTGGCCAACACGATGTAAGCGTCTTTCTCCATAGCCTTCCCACTATGACCAGGTGAAATCTCAGAAACTATAAGCCAACATAAACAATTCCTTCCTTAAGAGGTCCCTGTTGGGTATTTTGTCAGAACAGTACAAAACAAATACAGGGAGCATTCTAGTTTTTCCCATGAGCTGCTTCATTTTGCAGATGAGAAATGTAACCCACACAGAGGAAGTGATAGGCTCACCTTCCCATATGTGGCTTGTGAGCTTGCGGTTACAGAGCATGCTGAGGAAGCCCTGTCCGTCCTGCTTTGTTCCATGTGGTCATTCATCAAGAAGAGCACTGGAAATACCTGTGGCTTGGGCCTGTGGGAGGCTCTGGAAGTAAGGGATGAACCAGAGAAGAAGCAGCACACCCAACTACACTGAGCTGCCCCTCAGGGTCCTCGGGGGGGACTGTCCACAGACACCAAACTCCATGGATGCTCATGTGTCCTATGCAAAATAGCTTAGTATTTGCTAATAACTGTGAATGCCTCATATATATATTTATTTTTAATATTTTATTGTTTTATTTTATGTGTATGAGTGTTATGCCTGCATGTAGATAAGTGCACCTGTGTCGTGCAATGCCCGCGGAGGACAGAAATCATCTCTACATTACTTATACTTAATGGGATGCAAATACTATGTAAATAGATGTATTGTTTAGGGACCAGTAACAAGAAAGAAATCTGCTCATGTTCAGTACAGATGCAAATATTTGAAAATGTTTTCCATTGGTTGAATCCATAGATATAGAATCCATAGATACAGAGGCTGAATTAAAGTGTAGATTGTAGTCTGTGTGAACAAGGCACACACAGAGCTAGGGAAGTAGGAGGCTCAGGGAGGGGAGGGTAACACTGCCTTTTGATGGGCTGCTCTGGAGGACCTGTTTGAGTGAGGACAGAGAGGAAAGCTCCCAAGGGTTATAAAGTACTACTCAAGTAAAGGCTTGGGAAAGCTTGGAGGCAGAGAGAACAGGAAGTGGGAGCTGCCCCAGAGGTGGGGGACAGGAAGTGCTGGTGTGTGACCAAGGCTGAGCATTCCAGGGTAAAGTCAGAGGAAGATGCAGGCTGCAAGTCATGGAAGAGTTCGTTCATTCTAAGGGCAACAGGAAACCATTGGAGGATTTCAGGGAACTGACAAGCAAGACCCAAGTGACATCACTACATGGTTATTGGGAAGAAGTGGGCACTCAGACTGCTGTGAGGCAGTTTGGCCTATGTGAGGGGTACCAGTGACACAGCAGGGTAAAAGAGGATCTATGTTTTGGAGGTGTAATGGACAGAGGAGTAAGATGGCTCTGTTTAGAAGGGATGAGTGGAAGGTGACTTCTAGGCTGAGGCCTTGAACACATGGGCCAAGGTGTTTTCAGGAACAACCTCCCAACCCCTACCTGCACTGCCACTGTCTACCTCACTGCTGTACATGTTCATCCTCAGGACAGAGTGGGTTTCCAACAAACAGTCCTGAAGGCATAACTGATGACATGCATGGAGTGGGTTCAAAGTGGAATTTTTGGTCTTACATTTTTAATTTAGGAACCATCAATTAGCCATTTTAAAGAGTACAGTTCGGTGGCATTTAAAACATTCACAATGTTGTGAACCATTCCCCATCTAGTTCAAAATATTTCCTCACCCCCAAAGGAGTTCCTGTATCCATGAAATGGTCACTCCCCTTTCCTTCCTCTCCCCAGTTCCAGGCAACCACTAATCTGATTGCAGTCTGTATCCTTTGACTATTCTGCGTATTTCACATGACTGGATCATACAATGTGTGGGTTTTTATGTCTTTTTATTTTTAGTTATTTTAAAAATATTTTATTATGTTTATTTTATGTGTATGAGTGTTTTGCCTTCATGTATATAAGTGGACCCATGTCATGCAATGTCTTGCAGAGGTCAGAACATGGTGTTGGATTCTCTAGAACTAGAATTATGGATGGTTAACTGCCATTTGGGTGCTGGGAATCGAACCTGTGTCCTCTGAAAGAGCAGGCAGTGCTCTTAATCACTGAGTCATCTCTCCAACCCTCTTTTATTTTTATTTTTTTTATTAGCATCATGGTTTTGTCATTTGTTCACATGGTAGTACTTCTGTCTTTTTAATGGCTGAATAATATTCCACTGTATGGGTATGTGTCACAATTCCTGTTTTCATCCATTGAGTATTTGGGTTCTCTCTCTCTCTCTCTCTCTCTCTCTCTCTCTCTATATATATATATAATTGGATGCAAACATTTGAGTATACTTTTTAAGTCTTTTGAGTGTATGCTTAAGGAGTGGGTGGATCATATGGTCATCTATGTTTAACTTTTTGAATGATCTCTAAACTGTATTCCAACACTTCAATGAAGTTTTGCTGAAGAAGAAAAGAAGAGATAGATGGGAGGCCGACGGGAGGCGGGGAAGCAGAAATGAGGGGTTTCCTATCTTCTGCAGGCAGCGCTGGACTCTAACTGTCGCCATTTATAGCCAAATGACTGGAATTCTCTGAACTGCCTCCTAGTCTTCAAAGTGGGGAAACGATAACTTTTGTGAGGAAGTCAATTATTGATCCTAAAGCTTCAGGCCCAGAGCAAGGCCCCCCGATGAATTGCTGCCCCACCCCCAACCTTTCTGCTCTTCCCTCACCTTAGTTCAGCTACCCTACAGCCTAGTCTATCCCAGCGGTGCTCGGAACAGCCGGCTTGTGAACTACAACACCCGGCAAGCACCTCTCCAGGCCGCCTCTCCCAGCCTGGTGCGCATGCTTTGGCAGACGTGGCACCGGGAACTCGGAGGCGGGGAGCGGCTGCGAAGTGGCCAAGGCTGTTGGCCGCGGCAGAGCTGGCGGGCGGGCGCGGGAGCCCGGGCGGAGACGGCAGGCGGCAGCGGGGGATGGCGCGGGCCGGGCCGGCGTGGGGGCTGCTGCTGGCGATCGGGGTGAGGCTGCAGGGCGGCCGGGCGCACGTGCGTCCCGCGTGCCCGTGGGCGTTGTGGGCTTGCGGCTGTCCGGGACCGTGGGGGTGTGCGCGCTGGGCGGCGGGGACCGGTCCCTCCCCTCGGGGCTCAGGACCCGGCGATCCCATGCACCCCGCTGGTGCCCGGCACAACTTTGCGGGGGTGTAGGTGTGGGGCGCCCCTAGCCTGGGCAGGGGTGGGCGGGCAGAGCCTGCACCTGTGTGAGTGCGGGGTGGGGAGGGGTGGCTGTCCACCTGCGCTGCGGGCATCCTGGCCAGCCGGCCACCCTGGCTGAGGGTTTCGGGCCACTCTGCGCCGGGCCAGGCTGGCGGGGCTGGGTGGGGTCGTCACCTCCTAGGAGTTCTGCTCGGACGCCGTCTGACGTCGGCTTCAGCCGGGCCACTTTCTAGGAGTGTGGCGCCGCGGATCTTTTGACGAGTCTCAGTTTTCACCCTGGAGATTGGGGGCGGTAAAGAAACCCCGACGAGGTTGTCAAGAGGGTCGCGTGATGAGTCGGAGGAGGAAGCTCTGCCGTCTGTAAAATGATACAGGGGTGGACCAGCGTGCGGGAGCTGATGGGCTAGCAGGAGAGGGATGTGTTCTTTTGTGCGTGTGTGTGTGTGTGTGTGTGTGTGTGTGTGTGTGTGTGTACGCGCACGCTCTGGGGGCGGGGGCAGGCATCCCCAAGAGAAAAGAAGTGGGAATGGGTGTGCCCCCGGACTGCGGTGTTGCTGTAGGTGTGTGATGGGATGTTGTGGCCTTCTTCCTTATCTCTCCATAACTTCTGGTCTCCCTTGTATTAAGAACATCGACTTGACTACTCACCCCCCACCCGACCCCATGTTCTAGAAAACTTCCTGCTCCTGGCACTCTGACCAACTCAGATTTTTCGCTGTTTTTCTTTGGGGCGTGGCAAGGATGCTAGGCAAATGAGGGCAGAAAGAGTGGGCAGAGTACCTTTAAACACTTGCATCTCCCAGTGCCCTCTGCCTTCACAGTTTTCTGTTTGGAAGAGGGTGGAGAAGGAAGCTCCCTGTTCTTTGCTCTGTGCCCTCCCTCCAGAAAAATCCAAGCTTTGTACCTTTCCTGTTCTGGGGGTGTTGCATGTTGTTTGCCATCAGTTTCCTGGAACCAGTTGGTCTAACTCCCATCAGGATGGAGTCTGAGAGGGGAGAGTTTGCTTTCTTCCTTTCTTCCCCTTTCCCTCCCTCCAGTGAAAACAAGGGCTTAGGAGTCTGAACTTTCATTCAGTAAACATTTATCTAGCACATGACTTGCCTGGGGCTTGGATTTGGGTTGGGGAGCAAAATACACCTTGTGCATGTCCTCTGGTGTTGCCCTGAGCTGGGCAGGAATCAATTCTGTGAGCAAATAATGACAAGAGCTACAGCTAATACCCTCCTTGTAGCCTGCACTGAATGTGAGCCATGCATTAACGTAGAGGGAGAGTCAGCCAAGGCCTTCTGTAGGTGGGCAGAGTCCAAAAGGAGTGTGTATGGTAGTTAGCTAATTAGTAGAGGTCTGCGGGTGCCTTCTCCCCAAGCCTTGTGAAAGGGGGTGGAGGTGCGCCCCAGAGCACTGGCAGCTGGGAGTTCAAAACACGCAATTTGCATCTTCTTTTTTATTCTCTAAGCCTAGAGTTGACTTAGCAAGTGCAAGGTGCCTAGGGGTGGGCAGTGATGTGAGACTGTTGGTTGGGCTTCTGTAAATTTAAATGCTATATTATCTGATAAAGGCTTCCTGGGTCCCTGGGAGCACACTGAGTTCTTTATTCCCTCAGTATTGTGAGCCAAGAGATGTATGCTGGGTCTGGTGGGTGCATGCTGGATCTGGTGGCCCAGGCCTAATCCCAACTACTTAAGAGGACTGAAGCAGGAGGATCCAGAGGCCTGAGCTGCAGAGTAAGTTTAATGCCAGGCTGGGAAGACCTGCCCCAGAATTTAAAGAAGATAAGGAAAAAGGGGCTGGGGATATAGCTCGGTGACAGAGTGCTTGCCTAGCATGTGCTAGATTCTTGCTTAGTACTGTAAATAAATAACTAATTAAAATAAAGTACGAAAGAAAAGAAGTACAATATTTCCCTATGTACAGTTTCACTGTCGGGTTTTAAGTTATCTGCAATCAACAAGAAGAAAGGTCAGGGCTGGGGATGCAGTTCAGATGGTAGCGTGCTTGCTTAGTATACAAGAAGCCATGGGGCTGATCCCCAGCACCACATAAATTCAGGCAGTTGGATCAGAAGTTCTAGGTCATTCTGGGAGTTCAAGGCCAGATTCCATATCTTTTAAAAAAAGTGAGCATAGTGCAAGATATTTTGAGAGAGAGAGAGATACCACATTCACTTTTTATCACTGTATAGTAATTACTGATGTTTTGCATTACCAGCTATTGTTAATCTCTGACTACCTAATTTATCAATTAAATTTGTTCACAAGTATGTAGAAGAAAACAAATGTATATGTTCTGTATGACCCACAGTTTTCAAGCATCCACGGCGGGGAGGGGGGTGTTGGAGCTGTCCCCCTCAAGAGGCAACTGTAATATAAAAAGTTTGCACAGACTTGTGTACAGGACTGCTCACGCCATGGTGGTTGTTTGTTTTTGTTTTTGTTTTTTTTTGGTCTTTTTTTGAGACAGGGTCTGCCTGTAGCCCCAGCTGGCCTGGAACTCATGATGTAGACCAGGCTGGCCTTGAACTCACAGAGATCTGCCTGCCTCTGCCTCCTGAGTGCTGGGATTAAAGGCTTGTGCCACCATGTCCAGCTGGTTGTTTTTGTTTTTGTTTTTTTTAATAGCAGCAAAAATATGGGTGATTTAAATGCACAATAATAGCTTGATTTAATATTTTCTGGCTCCTTTCATACTATGGAGTGTTTGTAAGTTTGGGCAGCTACAACAAATATGCCATATTGGGTGGCTTATAAATGACAGAAATTTGTTTATCATGTTTTTGATGGCATCCAAGGTCAAAGTGGTAGCATGGTTCTAGGGAAAATCCTCCTGACTGCTGGCTGTTCACTTCTAGTATCCTTGTGTGAGAGAGAGGGCTAGAGAGCACTCTGGGTCCCTTTTAAAGGCACTGACTCCATTGGTGAAGATTTTCCCTTTAAGGCCTAATCACCTTCAAGACTACCACTGTTACCATCACGGGAGTATGTGGGTGGGATGGGGAGGATTTCAACATCAGACTTTTAGGGAGCATCAAATACTGGGTCAGTTGCTGTGCTTATAATGAATACACTTACTTGAATGTAATGCTCATTGTTTAGATATGCTAAGATGTGGATGAAGACCATCTAAAGAGAGGGAAAATGCTCAGGCATGAAAAGCATGATACAGAACCAAACCCCAGGGTGGCTGGAGTTACATGTATGAAGAATTAGCAGCCAGTCCAAACTAACATATTCTAGAAGGCGGAGTGGTGGGTGACTTCTTTGCTTATTATGCTTTCTTGTATTTTCTAAATTATATATATACATATATATATACTGTATATATTATATAGATCTTTATAATCAGGAAAGTTTTAAAAATATTTAAAGGTTTCCTTGGCAGCCTTTCTTCAGTCTTCCAGAAGAATGCCTGATGACCCTGGGATAAGTTAGCCAGATGAGCTCACAGGCCGGGCAGGCCAGCACCCTTTTGCCTGAGAGCCTACTTTCCTGCTGTCCAGCCTAACCTTTCTCAGGGGCCATGGATGCCTTGTCACTCAGTGTGTGAACAGTCACGGGGGATGTTGGGGGGTGTTCTGTGGGTGCTGAGGAACATTCTAGTTATCTCCTTGTTCAGTGGTTCTCAAATGTCAGACCAAGGACTCTGCTGGCCTGTGACAAGTTTTTTTTTTACCGGTCCACAAATTGGAAAAATAGTAACATTGAATGGATTTTTTAATGAATCCAAATATTTTCAGTTAAAAACATGCCTAGGGCTTTGGATGACTCAGTGGTAGAGTACTTGCCTAGAATGTGGGAGACCCTGGATTTGTTCCCCAGCAACAACTTCTCTCCTATTTTTTGATGTCTGTATTTTGGATGGGTTGGTTACAGTGGTTTTTGGAAAAATGAACCTAGCAGTACATTGTGATTTCATTCTAAAAAGTCCATTCTTGATCAAATTTGTTTAAAAATAGACAATACAAATCATATTTACAAATATGTTTTTTAAATATAGTCCATGAGATTCAGAAGTCTGGGAACCTATCTTACCCAGCCCTCTTATTTTTATTTTGCAGTGCTGAGGATTGAACCTCGAGCCTAGTCTAGTGCTCCACCACTGAGCTACACCCCATCCCCCTCAGGCTTCAGCAGAGCTGAGGGTAAAGCCAGACCTGCTGAATTATAAACTTGTTCCCCTTCTCCTGCCTGTTTCCCTGCCTTTGGCCCTGTAGGAGCTGGAAGCCCAGACCCCAGGGGACAGTGGGTGGAGGCTCAGAAGGGCCTTTGCCGGTGGCCTGTCCTGCAGAGCTTTTAAGGTATACTCAGGTTCTGTTCTTCTCTGGTACCATTATGTATTTAATAGGCTTTTGTGGGCTGGCCTAGGGACCTAATTGTCATTTATAATGCTGTTTGGAGCCTGGAGTGCACTTTTCCCACAGAAATAAACATATTACTGAGGAATTCTTAAAACAGACCCAGCATGCTGGGCCATAAAGTTGGAGCTATGGATGAGTGCTCTATGGATGGCAAGTGCTGATGGGTGGGAATTCAGGCCAGGGTCAGGTGTTGATTACCACGTGATCAGAGGAGGCCCCCAAGAAAGAACAACTGGTCTCACAAGGAAGGTGGAACCCGGGCTCTGGTGGGATCCCCCTGCCTGGCTCTTGGGTGGCTGGCACTTAGCCTAGGGCTTGGTGTTTGGGCAACTCAGTGAATGCTTCAGGCAGGGAAGGATGCCTCTTAAGACTGATGTGTGGGTAAGGATAGGAGGGAAAAGTCAGGCTGGTTGTAACCAGAGTCTGGTGATGAGGGCATAAGACTGAAAAA